CCTCAATGAAACTACTAGAACTTTTATACCTCAGACTCTGCCTATCCCTTTGAAATTCCAATCCCCTTCCATGGGGAAGTTATGAATATTTTTTCTGGAACTACACAATGTGCCCCCCCCCCTTACACTCTCCCCACATATATCCTCCACAGGCCTTGGAAATTTCAATTTCCCTCTATGTGGGAGGTATGGATATTATATAAAACTACACAATGTGCAATTCTTTTAAAAASCCTCCCCACCACTTGGARATTCCAATACACTCACTCACCCCATTGTGACTTTATGGCTGGCATAGCAAGCTTGTTTAACATGATGCTTACAGGATCGAAGGTAGATGAACTTGGTTCCACATGTACAAATGAGTGACCAGAACTCACAGTAAACAATGAGCTAGAACTGAGAGTTACAAGACAAACATAATAAATGAATATTTTTAATATAGTGCAACAATTTTAACTGGGACCACACAGCTGAGAATCAAGAGTGGTGCTAGCAGTGGTGCACTTTACTCTCCTCTCTTGGGACCCATGAGGTTCAGTTTCTGTTCCTGTCTCTCTCCTGATTTGAGGGTTTTCTTCAGGTTTTCTGGTTTCTCTCCCTCCACATATCCCAAAATGCTAAGTTCCAATTCCAAACAAGGAGTTTGTAAGCAAAGAAGGGARATACCATCATTTATACAAGTTTCAACAAACCTCAAGCTGCCTAAAAGTCTTGCTTTCCTCATCAGATGGTAGATCTGATCTTGTAAAGCATTCTGGAGATTCCTCTGAGAGTTATTGACCTAGATTTGATATGAAAAATTATAGTAAAGTTCAACAAATCCTGAATAATTTAATGCATGTTCTAATGAAACGGATTGAATATAATTGTTGCACTTAATAAGTAATAATGTGAAGTTGTTAATATATATAGTGCATTTATTGTCTCAATGTGTTTTACRTTTTTATGAGCAGTGGAGGACTTTACAGGCTGTATAAGGTGCTATTATCATCCGTGCGGCTTACAATCGTGAGTGAATAATTGAATGAATAATGATTTTTTTGCCACAAAAAATTCTAAACACTTACCTGAGTTTTTACTTTAGCTCTACTTGCATATGTGTCTTTGTGTGATGTAGTCTAAAACAGGACAACCAACATTATTTCAAATAAACAGGAATTATAAAATGTATCTGTTATAAATCTCACATTCTGATTGATYGTAAGCCTGTGCAAACAAAATGAGAGTGTACACTATTTCATCATTGATGTCCAAAATAACTGTAATTCTAATTTTCATTTTATATTTTAAAAAAACGTCCTTTTTTCATGAGGGTAGCACTTATTAGCCAGTGGCTAACAAACCTCTGGCTCTCATTCCGTGATCAAATAAGAATTTAGTAGTTGATTTTTGCGGAGGGAGGAAAACTGGAGAACCTGGAAAACCCTTGAAGCACAGGAGAGAACCAACAAACAACTCTATTCATATACAACACGGAACCCGGTGGGACTCGAGCTCACGTCGCATTGATGAGAGGTGAGTGCTCACACTGCTATGCCACCTGTGCTTTTTAGAAACAAAAAACTTGCTTGCTAGGGGTTTGACAGAAAACTCAAGAATAATAATTGTCCAGAAGCACTCCCCTTTACATCCTGCTTCTCCTAGCTAGCATGACAGTTTCAAAAAGTTTTAMAATTTTCAGGACATGACATTGTTTTACTTACTGTTGCAGTTGGGTCCAATGCAGAAAATGGAACAATCTGAAAAATAAATCGATGGATTTTTATTATTCAAAGTCAGATACATATCATTTATTTTCTTAATGCAATAGCCAGTTTACTAATTGTGGTATGATAACATTTTGGATGAGGGACAGGAAAACCAAGCTAGAGTCCATCATAGAAAAAAATTTGTAGCAAGAAATGGCACAGGAAACAAACACTATATTTAATAAAAAAAGATAACACTAACTTGTTTAAAGGAGCATATAAGTCTAGGTATACAGGGTCGTCCTGTTTGCCGCCAGATCTCAGGTAGACCGTCTACACCACTTAGACATTGGGATATTTGTGGCAACAGTTGATGCCTTGGAAAGAAAATACTTATTAGGATTATATTAATAAATAATATAAATAAATAAATAAATAAATAGTCAGTTGTTACAAAACAAGTTATTACCTTGTGGATGCAAGTGTTCTAAAGAGCCTGATATAACCAAGGTCAAAGGTTGTTGAGGGATGGATCATCTGTCAAAAAAGTACCACATATTACATCAACTAATTCTCAGTCTCTCTTTTTTATTTCTTTATKTTTTCTATATTTGTATTGTTTCAAGGGCACGGGAAGACAGGTAGAGTGGGAGTTAGAGCACATTAAAACCCAACCTTCACCCATCTCCTCAAATACACCCGATTCAAATATAAGAGGTAAGCCTTTTCCATCCTTTGTTCAAACATGAACCTTTC